TAAACTTAAAAAATACACAGAAACATTATTACTGTGTTACATAGTGTAATACAATATTCGCGTAAATTCAGTTAAGGCTCTTCTGAGACATTTCATTTATCTGTACCTACCTAGTGTACACCCTTAAGTCTTGTAGTTATAACCAGAGTCTCCTGGAGGGAGAGCGGGAGTTTGTGTATAGATCTATACGGGGTTGACAGCCCCGCACCTGAGCTGTTCGCTACAGCTAGACTAGGTGTAACACCCCAATTTCAGAAGACCTGGAAAGGTCAGAAAAACCCTCAGAATCAGGAACCGACTCGTCGACTTGATGGGATGACTCGGTGAGTAAGAGCGTGTTTTGGGTCGCGGGTTAAGTAACTTACTCGACGAGTCGGGGGACCGACACGGCGACTTGGTCTGGGTTTGGAAAACCTTAAATTTCGGCCTTGTACCCTATTTAAAGAACATTATAACACTCCATCAACCTCCTTAATGCTCTCTCAAGTCCAGAGTGAAACCCTAGTATCTTCCATGTGCTTGTGATCCATTTGTGAGCATCCTTGAGTGTTTTGGAGCTTGAACAAGAAGGTGAAGCCTTGGGGATACAAGAAGAAACTAGTAGATCCAGAAACCTCTTGCATCCTCCTCCATTTTCTGGTAAGAAAGTTTCAATCTTGACCATTATGCACCTAGATCTCTCCTTTGCCACTTTTGGGAATTTTTGGTCCAAGAACCCTAGCATGAGAGGAATGGACGTCCCAAGGGCTTATGTTTTCAGATCTAGCACCATTAAGGGTTGGTATGGCATAAAGGTGCAAGCTTTATGCCACAGGAATCCCCATGCAAACATAAGAAGTATTCTTTTGGCCTTTTTAGCTCAAAAGGCCACGCGTGGAGGAAAAAGGTAGAAGCTTTGCCTGGTTATGAGGTGGTTGGTTCCAAATCTATGTTTTGGAAGCTTTGTGATCGACTGAAATCGTCTTAATAGAATTGGACTTAGGAGGACTTGACGAGTTGCTCTTAGGACTCAGCAAGTCAGGCCATTTTCTTGCCCAAAACCCTTCTGATAGCGGGTGTGTGTTGAGTTGGTAGAAGACTCAGTCAGTTGGGTTCATTATGGACTTGAAGATCATCGTACTCGATGAGTTCAAGGAATGAACTCGGCGAGTCCAAGTCAAAATCCCTAACTTATGAAGATGGACTCGACGAGTTCAAAGGTAAACTCGACGATTCAGTTGTAAATGGATCCTTTCGTGTTTAATGCGGAACTCGACAAGCTCAAGGAAGACTTGACGAGTAGGATCGAAGTCCAGAGTTAAATGTGGATAGTGGGACTCAACGAATTGGTGGGTCAACTCGGCGGGTTGAGTCAACTCGGGGTGTTGACTTTGACCGTTCACTTTTACCAAGTTTGACCGGGTTTGACTTTTGAGGGTATTGTGGTCTAAGTGTTATTTTGGGTATTGATAGTTCGGGGAGCCGAAGGATCGGCAGTTCAGGAGTTGTCGGTTAGCAGTCAGAAGTGTTCAACTAGTCTTCGGCAGTACGAGGTGAGTCTCCTCACTGTGTGCATGGGTCTAAGGCGACAATGTCGGCCCATTATATTTATGTATCGTAGAAAGACCCGGGGGTTAGCCCTAGACACTTATTGTATATGTTCCGGATTACGATCTGATGCCGGTCGAGGCCCAAGGAATGTTGTAAGCTAGAAGTCTTTATGATTCTTGCATGTATCGGTATGATAGGATCTGGACCAAGGTCAAATATCCGGGTAAGCTCGAAGTACGTTTATATGGTAGTATGTTCAATACTAAGGTCCGATGTCGGGAGAGGCCCGAGGAAGATTTATAAGTGCATGATAGATTATACTTGTTGTCTTTGTGATACATGTATGTGCCTGGTAGGGAGGTGAGTGTGGGCGAGGTCTATATCTCAATATTAGCAGAGTAGGGGTGAGGCCCATGATAGAAGAGAAGTGAGTGTGGGTTGGGGCCCTTATCTCACTAATGGCAGGAGTGTGGATGGGGGTTCCATAACTCATCAGTAGCAGACCAGGGGTGGGGGGGCAAGATAGGCGAGGCCTTAGTACAGGAGTACAGTAGAGTGTGTTTTCTTTATACGCTAGTATGTTATTTGATTGTATGTATGTGTATAGCGGGTGAGGCCCAGAGACAGGCGGGGCCTAAGAAAGATAAATATGTATACCGAGCATGGCTCGATGCCAGGCAGGACCTGATGCAGGGCAAGGCCGATGCAGCGGGCAGGGGCCTAGTATGTGGTTATGTGTATGTAGGTTATGTGTATGTGGTATGTGGTAGGTTGGGGAACTCAATAAGTTTCGTGCTTACGGTTTTCAGTTTTGGTTTTAGTTACTTCCGGTAGCGGAGGGAAGAGCTCGAGATGATCGCATGACACACACCAAGAAGTTTTAGCCTGGGATGTTTACTCTGATAGAAATAATATGTATTGAGATGATATTCTAATTTGATATCAACCTTTGCTTATGAATGAAATGATTTGATACTTATGACTTATTTAATGTCTTTAAAAATAAATTTTTGGTCATGATTTTTGGGATGTTACACTAGGCCAGTCTAGGGTGACAAATGTCTTACCTTAAACAAGCGACTCCTGAAAAACGTCACGACAGGCAGATTAGTCATATCAAGTATGGTTATAACGACTCACATAGAAATTAACTCCACTGTAAAATTTACGCAATACACAAGCGTTTCTATAATTACATTCTGATCTTAGGTTAAATACCACGACACTTTTACAAGTAAAAAATATCAGGTTTTCTTGGAAAACTTACATTATACGTTACCTTATACTTACAACAGAAAACATAGGATTTTTTGGAATATTCTCTTTATACATTTTCAAAACAAAAAACAAACATGCTTCAATACAAGATTTGATACAAAGTGTTCATACTGTTTATTTCTTTTATAGAAAATATCGGATTTTCTGATGTTTACAAAGTGATAAATTTTTTTTCATACAAATATGCTTATGAGATCACCGACATTATATATGTTGATAATTTTCAAAATAACTTATATTCTCAGGAAATCGTTAAGCAGGTTAGCCTTCAAGAACTTATGGATTTTGATGTATTTTTGCTATCATCGTATACTTATATTTTGGGAATGTAAATTTTAATCCAACATAATGATGTAAACAATGACGGTTGTATTATAAGATGAAGTCACCCAAACCCCCGGACGTTTCCGTCGTTTCTTCGGTTCGGGGGTGTGACATGTTTTGTGTCTGAGATCCTAGCAAGGATCAAGAGTTTTCCTTGTAAATCACTTATGCAATCTTGTACTAATTTTGAAAATTACTTTATCTACAACATCACAACCTCTCATTTATGTTGGTTAATATTCACTCAATTGATTTTTGATCAAAACAGTATCTTCCGTGTACAAAAATAATCAACAAGTTAAACTATATAAATGTATACATTTCATGGAGAAAGCTGAAGATAAAACGTTCGTTTGTCAAGAGGGCAAAATTCCAACAATTAGGAAATAAACGATCAATTATTATTGATGTATAGATAATATGGTTAACTTTTTTTTAGTTATTATTATTATAATTCTAGTATATTAAAAATGATTATAAACTTCTAAAAGTGCTGCAAATTTTTATTTTTTTTGCTTAAATATTATATTGTGAAGGTGTATGAATGATAAATATGATATTACAAAATTAAACTAAAAAAATATGATTTTTTTGGTGTTTAAAAGAAATATATATGAAATTTGGTGAGGAAATCGAACACGATAATAAAAACTTATAAAAAACAATATTTCATGTAGTTTAGAGAAATCATATATAAAAATACCACTAGTACTTTGCAATAAGAATAATGATTTTGTGGTGGTTCTAGGTAAGGGTGAGCGCGGTGCGATTGTTTGTTAAAACCTCACCACTATCTGCAAAAACGGTTAATCTATTTTCAAAACCGTTTGGTGCGGTTATTTTTGTGGTGTAGGTTTTTTTTTTTTTTTTTTTTTTTTTTAACCGCATTAATTTGGTGTAGTTATTTTGTGTGGTTTATAACCACAGTTTAGAGTTCAAAGGGTTTTAAGAGTTCAAATATATTATTATAATTATAATAAAAAAAATAAGGTATAAAACAATTAACTTAAATCATAAACAATTAATATCTTAAAAACATGAAATCACTGGTAGTTAACAATAAATATCTTAAAACTGTGAAAATTCAACATTTTCCAAAGTTAAACATAACAAAAAACTAAACACTTTTATCTTTTAGAATTTTATTATTCTTTCATCCATAAAACTTATGTTTTTTTAATATTTAATATATTAATAATGAATAAAAAATTGTATATAATATATGCGCTGCGATACGGTTTATTTTTGCGGTTTTTGAAAACTGAAAACCGCACCGCACCACAAATTTGCAGGTTTTGAAAAACAGAAAACCTTATCATCGATTTTTATTGTGGTTGTGATTTATCGGTTGCAATTTATATTGTTAGTTTCAGTTCTGATGCCGTTTTTGCTCACCCTCAACTATAACGTGAAAGTAGTGATTATTTCGGTTAAAAAAAATAGAAAATATGATATTTTATTCAATTCTTCCCTAAAATGGTATTTTTGTCATTTTTCTTAAATATCCTGCCACAAAATTCAAGTTGTGATAAAAAAAAATAAATAAATAAAAAATAAAAAAGGTAACGAACATTTAGACTTTGTAATCAATGATTAATCTATTATTATTATTATTATTATTATTATTATTATTATATATTTCTTCAGAAAATATTTGTTTTTTGTCTATCTTTATAATTGTGAATCGAGTCATTGGTTTTGAGTACAACGACTTTTTCCTAGTCGAATATGAACATGGTGGCTGATTATTTTTGAACCTGAGCGTAATCCATGCTTATAATTATAATAACCGAGTCAACCTCATATGCCTTTAATTATAAACAATGCATGGATATTCCCCACTTTGTTACTTCTTCTTGTTTTTTATTGACAAATCCAAAAAGCTTATAAATTCGCTTGCTTAACGACTCCCACAACAAACACCAACACCAACACCAAATGGGTTCTCAGGCACCTCTTGGACTCCCCACCATAGATTTCTCCGACGTACACAAGTACAACCGAGGAACCCTTGTTTGGGACTCTACAAAAACACAAGTGTTGGAAGCCCTCCAAGATTATGGATGTTTTGAAGCATCTTTCAATAGGGTTTCACCTGCTATTCGAAAATCAATGTTCGCTTCGTTGGAACAACTTTTTGATCTTCCATTAGAAACAAAGGTAAGAAACATCCCTGACAAAATCTTTAATGGTTACATGGGACAAGCCAAAGAGGTCCCAATCTATGAAAGCTTGGGAATTGAAGACCCTGAAAGCTTCACTAATCTCATGTGGCCCCACGGTAACACTGAATTCAGGTATGTAATATAGTGTAATTTATTAGTTGCTCACAACCTAAATTTCATAATCACTCATATATAGTTCTCACTTTATGTCTATATAGAAGACATTGTTTTAACCATGGTAATTAAGTTCTATATATAAACTTAAGGTTTGACTTTGTGTTTATGAGGTAAAAATTGTAAAAGCTTCAACACTTGTCAATTGCAAGCAATATAATTCCCTCCCATTGACTAGTTTTCCTTCTAATGTCGACCTGATTTTTGTTTATATCTTGTGAAATTAATTTGTAATTACTATGAAATATATATATCAGCAACAACATACAAGTCTATCGGGAGAAGTTAAGAGAGGTAGACGAAATTGTGAGGACGATGGTTTTGGAGAGTCTGCATATGGAGAAATACATCGAGGAACACATGGAGTTAACAAGTTATCTAATCCGGGTTATGAAATATAGAGCACCTGAGAAAGACGAATCCAATATGGGACTACTAAGTCATGCCGATAAGAATATGTTGACAATTTTGCATCAAAACGAAGTTGAAGGGCTTCAAGTGCAAAAGAAAGATGGAGAGTGGATTAAAGTGAAACTTTCATCAAACAGTTTTGTTGTTATGGTCGGAGAAACCTTCCGGGTAACTTTTCAAAACTATCATATAACTTCTGTTTTTAGAAATACACCATATATTTATAACTAAACAAGAAAGCCTTATGTTGGTGACCAATATGCACCCTATACATTGTATTTTCAAGATTTTTATTGTTATAAATTGTCCCTATATAGTTTTTCATTTGAGTATCTGTTTAACTTTAAGTAACTTAATATTATAAACGTTTTTAGTAGTTAATGTTTAGATTTATTAATTCGTATGTACATGTTTATATTCTTTTTGTTATAACGGTTATCTGTGCTTCTACTTGCAATATTTTTAATATGCTCGTAATAATATGGTTACAGGTTTGGACAAATGGCCGATTGCATGCAGCGACTCATAGGGTGGTTATGAGCGGAGATAAAAACCGGTTTTCGATTGGATTTTTTTCGGTTCCAAAATGGGGGAAAATCCTAAAAGCCCCTGAAGAAATGGTAAATGAAGAATATCCGTTACTCTTTAAGCCTTTTGATTTTGGAGAATTTATGAAATTCTTCTCTCGCAAAGAAAATGTGAATGATAAATTTGGGCTGGAAAAATATTGTGGCGTGTCTTACTGAAAATATTATGTTAATTGGCAAGTAAATTTCAAGTATAAAGAAAACGTTTGTATCTATAATTTTGCTAATTATATTTTCTGTAAATAACCCATGGTTTTTAAGGAGAAAATATTGTAAGCCTTTTGTTTTACTAAATTCAATAATAGCATTGGTGACGCTTCTTGCGTTGCTAAGATGATTTCATGTAATGGCCTTTTTTTTCTTTTTTATCGTGTATCAAATGTATTTCTAGCAATCTTTATGTCGTTCATTTTATTATTTTTTCAGGGAATATACGTTGATTTCAAAAGCCTTATGTGAAAAATAAAAATAGGCTACCAAATACATTTTTATATAAAAGCAAAAAAAAAAATAAAAAATTGAAGGGTGGGAATTGTCATGAGGGGAAACTAAAAGTAAATCAAATTTATTAAAAACAAACAAATGCAAAAATTTTAAAAGTTAAGGGGTAAAAATACAACTTTTAGAAACTGAATTATAAAAATAATTGAGGGGAATGGTAGATTTGAATCATGGACTATAAATCAGGGTCACGAAATATAACTTAGGAAAATGTCACCCGAAATTGATACGTCGCATGACAAAATATTTATTAAAATTGGAAAAATGAAAATTTATAAAAGTTTAAGGGATTAAAAATGTAACCTTTTGAAGAGGAATTGTAAAATGAATTGAGAGGAAGGGTAGATTTTGAAGCATGAAGTATAAACCAAGTGCTTAAAATGTAACTTACAAAAATGTACTAATAAATTTATGCATACATAGTTACATACTTATATATACTTATATATAAATAATATATAAAGCTAGCACTTTTTCTTAAATCTCATACATTTGAAACCCCCATAAAATTTTATCAACACCTCATTCATTTGAAACCCCACACCCTTTCACCTTCAAAATAATTAATCAGACATAATCTCATTCCAAAAAAATCACACATTCTATAAGTTTAACACATCTTGCATTTCAAACCCCCACACCCTTTCATTTTCATTATATATATATATATATATATATATATATATATATATATATATATATATATATATATATATATATATATATATATATATATATATTTCTTACAAAAAATCGTTATTTGGTTGAAGATATTATGATTCAAAAGTTTTCATATAGTTGATGCATTCACGATCCACGTATGATGATTTGAAGAAATGGTTAGTCGTATCGATGGTAATTGTAATATGATTTTTTCTTTCAACCAAAACAAATGAAGCTTTTTTATTATTTCTTTATATTCAATTTTTCATTTAATATTTATATGTGATTTGTATGTATTACTCAATCTTGAATGTGACTCTCCAAATATTCATGTTTTGCTTGTAATATCTTTCTCATTCTTCTATTTCAAAAAAAATATTTTGATTGTAGGTTAGTGAAAAATTGTCATCAAGTTTCTATGGTTGAATGATGTTCAATAAAGAAAAAATATTCAGAAAATGGATATAGTTTTTTTTTTTTTTTTTTTTTTTTTTTTTTTTTTTTTTTGAGCTAAGTAGACGAATGTTAGTTTTTTCTTTTGATTTAAATATATATTTATGTAACATATTTATTTATATATTCAACCACCCAATGTTCTTATTTATTTTATTGTAGTTTTCTATTTTGATTATGTTTATTTTATATTATTTTTTGTTGGGTTATCCTACACAACATATTTTCAAGACAATATTTAAAAAAAATAACATAATTTTTAACATTTGATATGTAATTATGATGACTTATCACGATATGTTCTTCATATGAAATTAATTTACCCATAGCACTACGACAAGAATTACATATGATATTTACGAAAATATACACTATATGTGATTTGTTTAACATATCTATGCACCTATGTATGTTATAAATTTATAATTAAATATATTTATGTTTAATAATTGAAGGGATTAAAATGATGCATCAAAACCAATTATTTAGACGAATATAATAATAATAATAATAATAATAATAATAATAATAATAATAATAATAAATACATATTCTGAAGTACTGTATTCATTTGAAACTCACACTACAATTCAAGAGTTTTCTAATTTATGTATATATTTATTAGTTACAACTCAAGAATTTTTAACTTATGATTATTAATTACTAATCACTAATAACTTTTTATTTTCATTTCTTTTATAAGGTTGTAAAGTTTTGCTCATTAAAAACATTAATGGATTTAAAGAGCTTTGTGATTTAAATATGAAAAGTTAATATAAATATTATAATAAATGTTTTAGTATTTTTTATGTTATTAAAAGTTGTAGTGTTTATTTTTCATATTTTTTATTATTCGTTGTGTATATATATATATATATATATATATATATATATATATATATGTATATATATATGTGTGTGTGTGTATATATATATATATATATATATATATATATATATATATATATATATATATATATATATCCACAAATGTGATAATAGATGTTTTTGTATTTTTATATTACTAAAAGTTGTCATATTTTTTATTGTTTATTTGAAACTTACACTACAATTCAAGAGTTTTCTAATTTATGTATATTTATTGGTTACAACTCAAGAATTTTTAACTTATGATTATTAATTAGTAATCACTAATAATTTTTTATTCTCCTTTATTTTATAAGGTTGTAAAGTTTTGCTCATTAAAAACATTAATGTATTTGAAGAGATCTGTTATTTAAATATGAAAAGTTATAATAAATGTTTTAGTGTTTTTATGTTATTAAAAATTGTAATATTTATTTTTCATATTTTTTATTGTTCGTTGTGTATATATCTTTTTTAATACAAATGTTATAATAATTGTTTTTGTATTTTTATGTTACTAAAAGTCGTAATTCATATTTTTGTTCATACATTTTAGTACCTGTTATATATAGATTATTATACGTTTGATATATAATTTACACAATTTTAAACGATTTATAAAATTATCAAATAATTGTATATATCACAATTACTTAAAATTAAAATTATAATCATCATACTATATTATAAAGGAAACATTTTTTTTCTTTAACCACATTCATTTGAAACTCCAAACTTTTCATATTTCCATACAATATACTTAATTTATTAACTTAAATATGCTTTTAGTTGTAAACATTATCATAAATGGAAGAATTTGTGACTTATTAATATGATATACTTAAATTGTTAACATTAATATATAGTTAAATAAATAGCATATATTAATATATCAAATAAGCTTAAAAATTTAGTGTAAAATTTAAAACCTAAAGTAAAATATGAAATAATGTTAAAAAAAAATCAATATATATTTTTTTAACATAGTTAAAAGGAAAACATTAAATATAATAATAATAATAAAAGAACCTAAATTGATGAATCGAATTAACTAAAAGGTGTCTAAAAACTATATTATAACAATATATTTTTAACCTGCGTCGCGCAACCCACGGGAATTCGTCTAGTACATATTTATAAAACTAGCATTTTTTCTTGAATCTCATTCATTTCAAACCTCCTTTTTTAACTTCCTCAAACCACATTCATTTGAAACCACATTTTTTAACTAATTCAACTCAAAAGTTTTCTTAATTATTATTGAACACTCAAAAGTTTTATAACTTGTATTATGTTTAATTAGCATTTAATGAAAAGTTTACTATAAAACAGTCAATCTTTTGGGAAGACATGCAAGCAAATCATATACGAATTTCAGAAAGAAAACAAACTTAAAGATTTTTGTGTTGGTTTGAGTTCTTATGATCATTTTTTGAGATATGCTATTATATTGGAGCTTTTAATTTGTAAGTTTGTTATACTAATTCGTTTTTTATATTTTCTTCGTATTTGGATTATTGTAATACAGTTGTTGTATATTGTGGTTTAATCGTTAATATATTGATCATATGTTATATAGGGTGATGTCGAAAATATTTAATTAAATATTTTAAATATGTTCTTTTTTTGTTTTGTAATTATACCGTTTCAAAAAGATAACTAATAAAAACTCATACATATGTTATAGTTTCTATTTCTCACTCTATATATATATATATATATATATATATATATATATATATATATATATATATATATATATATATATATATATATATATTAAAATAAAAAAATAGTGAGGGAGACTTCCTACCCATTCCTTGGGTTTTAGGTGAGGGAAAGAAAAATAAAAGAAAGGATGGTGTGGCCCAAGTGAGGGAAACATCCCTTCCATACCCTCCAATCTGACTAGTTCTTTTGTTTTCCACTCAAGAAATTTGGCCTTCATCTGTTTCATAATTTTTCTCAAATCACGAGTGCAATCGTAATAAATTAGGAAATCCCTTTTGTGTATCTCTCCTAAGTTATGTTTTTTTATTTGTGTAGATCGTGTGTCGGGTGCAATTCTAATTGTTTTGTTTTCCATCTCCCTTACATGATCATTGTGCTTCCTATCCAACAATTTGTGTATATGTTAAGATTTGTAGAAAGGGAAAATTAATATATTATGAATACATCTCCCTATCTTATTCATTCTCTTCTTTTTCAAACAATTGATATGGTTCATGTTTTCCTACGGTTTATTAACAACTATGCGATGGTCTCATAAACGATCCTACATCCACAATTAAAAGAAGATAGTCAAAATCAGCAATCGGCATGAACATACGACATGGAAATATGCAATGACCCACGCTCTATGTGCCCCTTTGATATCGCAACAACGACCCACCTCCATGGCGATCTCTTTGAGCAGGCAACAACTTTGTGTGATTACAAAATTAGGGTTTGTGTCTTTGATGTGCAAAGAAGGTACATTTTAAATTATTATTCGTATTTTTATGTAATTAGTTATCGGATCTTACAAAAAACAAGATCTTCTGTTCACCAATGCCTTTTTGTTTGTTTCTAATCTCCTTTGACGATTCTATATATGAAGTAGTTAAAATATGCATTGAGGTACGTCCAGTCCACTACTTCACGTACATATATATACATACACCAACAGAGTACAATGGTGACGATTTGAATTTAAATACATGGTTAATGAGTTTTTTTTATTCAATTTATATTTTTGATTAATTAACAAAAATTTTGTGTTAATTGGACAAGTGGTTTTAATTGGTCTGGCGAAAAGCTTTTTTTTTTTTTTTCTGAAAATGAAGAAAGCAAATCATTTTTTACTACTATAACTAAACAAACATCATCTTTTTACATCCCATGATTTTACCTCCACGGTTTCCTCTATGAACACTATAATAATAATAATATTGTCTAAAGTTT